TATACGGGTTTGATGTCCCAAAACACTTGGTCCGCAAGCTACACGTCTTGCTCCCCAAGTTATCTCCAGTAGTTACCCTCGTAACCATAGGTGCGGGTGCGGTGCGTACACAACTTAGATGGTCCGTAACCATAGGTTACCCTCCCTTTCTTTTTTATCATTCATTATCCGATATATGGCATATTATATTTTCTCTTGAATTGAATAGAGAGAAGATCAACGAGACCTTGCCTGATTTAATGGATAAGATACTCTATTTAAAACCAAGTAAAATGGGTGCAGAGGATCATCTCTCTTGGCTTCCGAATAAAATGGGAGAGTAAATCACGAAATCAAGTTATCATGTTGCTGAAGCAACACGTAACTAACTGGAATCGAGAAATTTGGCATGGTGTTTTCTCTCCTAAAATAAAGGTTTTTCTATGGAGATGTGCTCTTGAAGCGATAGCAACAGGGGAAAACCTACGCAAAAGGGGCATTAACATCAGTTCGGGGTGTGTCCACTGTGGTCATGACGAATCCACAATCCATCTATTGTCCCTTTTGCAGTGAAAGTCTGGGCACTTGTTCCTTTCGCGTCGAATTTGGATATATAAAGCATCACAGATTTCTGCGCTGGTCTACAACTAGGAAATAAGCTTGTTTGTCTCCCGCCGACTGGTATAGGGTCTGGTCCGCTATTTCCGTGGGTTTGCTGGTCCATTTGGACCACACGAAAAAAAAAAATCTTTGAGAATAGAACTTTTTCCGAAATAGAAACAACAACAAAAGCTTTGAAAGAGGCTCGTGGATGGCAAAGGGCTAAAGATGATAAAAAACAGAGTATTGCGCCTAGCCTAGCAGCCTCTATCTATCCAGAAGTATCTCTAGATACTACCCTCTGCTACACGGATGGCTCTTGGCAAGAGGAGAAACAGTTAGCAGGGCCAGGCTGGATTTTCCAGAGGCGAGAAGTGATAACAACCTCAAGATGATTGATCAAGGTGCCAAAACAAAGCCTTATGTTAACTCACCTCTCTTGGCGGAAGCTCTTGCGATGAGGCTAGCCTTGTTCCGGGCAAGAGAAAAGGGGATAAAGAAAATTATTGTCTATTCCGACTCTCAGATGCTCATTGGAGCTATAAACTCTTCTACGCCGATCAAAGAAATCTTTGGAACCCTCCAAGATATCAAAAATCTACGTTCTATGTTCTCTACAATTGAATTTCGCTATGTCCATAGATCAAAAAATTGTTTAGCTGATGCTTTGGCAAGAGGGGTGATTAGAGATCGTGTGTTTGTAGCTCCACTTTGTGTTTGAATGAATGAATGAAACAAGTTGTTGAACAAAAAAAAAGGCATATTATATTTTCTCTCAAGACATCAATGTAGAAGATTTTGCTTGCTTTGGTTTTTATTGTTTCTTTTTTAGATTATTTCCGGCCGTCGGAGGTCTTGTTCATTGAGCCTATATAAGTTCAATTGCTTTGCATTTTCAGTTCACACTTTTATCAATTGAAATTCAGCTTGCTTTGCTTCAACACTTTGTGTCTTGAATCAAATTTGTTCTTGCGAGTTCTAGATTGTTTGTGGAATCAAATCACTCGAGCTTTTGTGTAGAGTCTTTAATCCTTGTGAGGAATAGCCCGTGGATTATATTCTCTAGCCTTTGGTGTTTTAGAATCAACATCAAACCAGTTACTTCACCATTATCACCGCTTTCGCAGAATTCTAAGTCTTAAATCCGTGAGCCTTATCTTGGCGTGAATCTGAGGCGTGTCTTGCAGGTTGTTTATGCATGTTGATCATGAAGGGAAAATTATTGATTTTTGTTCGTGAGTTGTACCAAAAGGACTTGAATCAGTTTCAAATAATTATTTTGGCTACTTTTCCTCAATAATTAGTCTATGGTGAATGTGGTTTTTCAGCTACAATTTATGTTTCTTCCTTAACTTTATTTTTGGTGTGAATTAACACTACTATGTATTAGGATATTCTCTACATAATATCTTTTGTATATTTTCCATTATTGTGTATATTGACTTTCCTTAAATCTTAGGAGGTTTAACTTAAATCATTGTACTATATATATCCTTTTGATGTTAATAAAGAACACAAGCTTTTCTCTCACGTTTAACATGGTATGAGAGCAAAATTGATCTTGATATCGATTTTGATTATCTTTCTCTTCTTCTTCATCAACTACTCTAAATTTCTTATCTCTTCTATTCATCATGGTGACTCCCACCGAAACTCCTTAATCTAACATCTCCGAAACCTCTTCGGCAAGCAAAGATGAGATCTCCTCATCATCGTATCATCTCTC